CAGCCAGCCCCCGGCCGGCCCCCGGCAGCGCCTCGCGGCCCGCCCCCGGTAAGGGCCCAGCTGCCCGCCCGAGCCCCGCCAGCGCACCGGGATCGAGCGCACAGCCCTCCGCCGCCAGCGGCAGCGCCCCGGAGCCCAGCCCAGCGGCGGATCCCCGGCCGGCCCCCGGTACCGGCCCCGCCGCCCCGGGGAGGCCGTCCCGCGCGGTGCGGGCCCTGGCCCGCAGCCTGGACCTGCACCCCGAGGAGGTGCGGGACGCGCCCCGGCTGCTGCAGCAGGGCGTGAAGGTGGTGATCGAGCGGCACCGCGCCAGGCTGGTCCGGGAGAAGGAGCCGCGGAGCCGCGGGGGAGGGACGGAGCGCGGCCCCGCTCCCCCCAAAACTGCCCCGAAACCCGAGAGCAAGGAGGCGCGGGGCCGGGGAACCGCGGGCAGCGGCAGCTCCGAGGGAGAAAAAAGCACTTTAAAGGCAACGCAGACACTGCAAGAGCCCGCTGAGAGCAGGAACAGCCCCGCTGACCTCGTCCAGCAGGAGGGAGGAGACCAAGGCAGGGCAGGAGGGGAGCGGCTGCAGCTGGAAGCTGGGCTGGGCTCGGAGCCCCCCGCGTGTGCTTTGCACCCCCAGATCCTCCCTCTGTCGCTGGCAGAGGCACTCGCAGGTCACGGCCCGGGGACATCCAGAAAGGAGCTCGGCCTGCGGGGACAGGCGGTGCCCGCGCCCGGCCTGAGCCCGGGCAGAGCCCCGGGGCCGCCTCTGCCCCGCACGCCCCAAACCCTGCCCGGCTGCTCGGCCCGCAGCGCCGGGACCCGCGCCGCCGGCTTGGAGTGGCTGCCAGAGCTGTACCCTGAGCCCGCAGGGCTGGGGATTTTTCCAGGGAATCGTTGCCAGGAGGATGTGAGGGGCACGGTGGAGACAGCCAGGGGTGGCTTGGCACAGGGGCAGCGAGGTAAGGAGAGTTTCCCTGCTGGGATGTGCTGGAATGGGACAGGAGGGGTAGGGAGTGGGAGAGAAAAAGTAGGGAATGGGAGAAGAAAAATAGGGAATGCTGGGCTTGCCCAGGGAAGGATCCAAGAGAAGCCAACTGGGCCTCCTCCAGCCTGCAAAGCCAATGAGTGATGTTTTTATGGAGCCTTGGACTGATAGAGCTCAAACTTTGTGGGGAGGTGATTCCCTCTCCTTTTCCCAGCCCAAATTGCTCATGCCATGCCATCCCTGCTCCCCTGGCAGCACACAGCCCTCGCTGTGACCGTGTTGTGTCACCTGCAGGTCCCCTCTCCGAGAGGCCCCTGATGGAGGTGAGGCTGGGCGAGCTGCACACCTGGATCAGCACCTGCAGCTTCTCTCCCCAGGGGATGCTGGGAGCAGTGCAGAGAGGTGAGAATTCCCAGCTTTTGGGGCAAGTCCATGCCACTTCCCTGATCTACTTGGCTGGGCCAAGTAGCCAGTCTGGATCTTTACAAAGCACAGATCATGGAGTGATGGAATGCTCTGGGAGGGACCATAAAGATGATCCAGTGCCATTCCCTGCCTTCCACTGTCCCAGGTGGCTCCAAACCCCATCCAGCCTGGCCTGGGACACTGCCAGGGATCCAGGGGCAGCCAGAGCCCCTCTGGGCACCTGTGCCAGGGCCTCACCCCCCTCACAAGGAACAATTCCTTCCCATCCATCATCCTCTGGCACTGGGAATAAACAAACATCCCCAACATTTTAGCTCTGTAAAGTTGCAGGAAAGCAGTGAATCCCCAAGACCAGCCCATGATTTCTCCCTCTCCTTTCTCTCCCAACAGCTTGGAGCAGTTACTGTGCCAAGTACATCCACGTGAAGCAGGGGGGACCTGCTGGAATCTCCATGCTCCTGACTGGGTACTGCCTGCTCAGCTATGGCTGGAACTATCAGCACTTCAGTAAGACTTCCTATTTCAGGAATTCTTCTTTTTGCAGCACTTGGAAAGTCTGATTAGCACCCCTGCTAATTAAAGCTCTGGAATAATTGAAATAATTAATTTATTTAAGCACTCCCCATTTAAGACTTAATACCAGAGCTCAGAGAGCAGGATTCTCTAGGTGGGCAGAGGAGTTTGGTTATTTAAAGTGCTGACAGCAGTTGCTGACTCACAGCCTCTCCCTGGAGAGCACCAGGATTGTCAGGAGCACTTGGAAAAGCCCACACAGGGCAGAAGGAGGAGGAGTTCCAACAGGAGCTGCATTTCCTGACAGATGACAAGGGATTTGCTGGTGTTTGGGTGGTTCCCCCTGGCAGCACAGAAACAGAGAAGCAGCAGCTGGGCTGGAGCCCCCAAACAGATCCCTTTGCTCACCCTGGAATTATTTCCTCCCTGTTCTTCCAGAGCGGCACCGCTGGCGAAAATACCACTGAAGGAGCTGGAGCAGCACCCAGGGAACAGCCACAGCTCTTGGGGAGGCAGCAGAGCACCCAAGAGCAGGATTCCAGCAGGAATTCCCAGCAGCAGGGGCCTAGCTGGGGCTGGAGCTGAGGAGGAGTCCCTTTGCAGGTCGGCTTGTGTGACAGAGAGGTGACAGGGACAGCCTGTGGTCGCCCCTCCGTGGCTCAGGCAGCTTTTAGTAGTGAAGTGAGAAAGCATTAGAGGCATCTGAGAGATCTGTGGGGGCAGGAGAGCTCCTGGAGGCTGCAGAGTCCCAGATCCCTTGTCTGGGACAGGGGACAACACCTTGTCCCAAGCTGCCATTAGAGATTATTTGACAATTCTGCTGTAGCTGAGTGGACTTCAACCCCAAGAACCATTCCCTTTAAATTCAGAGCTGTGCCTGGCCCAGCCCAGTTTGTGCTCACCCCTTGTACTGGTGGGACCGGCCAGGACCTGTGTGAAGGCACTGGAGCAGCAGCTCAGACCACAACACCCTAATTCTGGGGAAGAAAAATCCATGGGATGAGCTGTTGTGCCCAAAGGGCAAACCTGTGCCTGCAGCAGGCAAACCAGGACAGTCAGGAGTGCTAGTTGGAGCCTGCCATTCCCAGACATGTCTGGGAAAGGGTTGCTCATGTTGCAGGCACGAAGGGCAAAAAGAAAAAAAGAGCCAAGAATTAAAAGTCTGAGCTCTTTATTCTGCAGAGTGCAGTAGTGCTGTGACAGAGGTGTTGCACCAAAAACTCTCTCACCAGCAATAAAAACCTGTGTGGATTTTCCTTTCCTGCTTGGGTTGTGATCTCAAACGTGGTGCTTTGTGCCCCCTTCCCAAGGGATGAGCACATCCTCACCCCTGTGTCCAGGATCCTGCCCCCAGCCAGCCCTGCACCCCTTCAAACCTTGGGAATGCTGCTGCCCCAGCCTGCCCGCAGCCAGCAGTGCCAGGGGGAGCAGCCAGCTGTGGCAAGTCCTGATTTTCATTGCATGAAGTGATTTCTGTGCTCCTGTGCCAGCTGTGAGCTGGTGCTGGGCAATCCCTGCTGGCTTTCCCAGCCCAGCCGCTGCCCCGGTGCCATGTCCATGGTGTCCCGTGGTGTCCTCGTCCCCTGAGCTGTGTGGAGCACTGGAGTCACTTTCCCAGCAGCATTTCCAGCTGAGTCCTCCTGCTCTGGCTGGCACAGGGGCTGGCTGATCCTCTCTGGGGGCACAGGGAAGGGGTTTGTGCTGGATCAGCCCCTGCCACGTCCCCATGTGTTCATTTTGACCCCATTTCCAAAGGAAACAGCACCCCAAAAGTTCCAACTACACCAAAAATCTCTGAGCCAGAAGGATTTGTTGTTGCCAGGGTTCTCACCCCTGAAATCCCTCCCCCTGCTGGTTCCCACCCCAGCTCCAAGGGGACAAGGCCAAATACCACAAGGAAAAGACAAATTCCCAGTCAAAGAGGCTGTTTTGGGAGCACTCTGGGAATCCCCAGAGCACCTGCTGCCCCTCACCCTCCCTCCAAGGTGAGACCACTGCTCCCAGCCCTCCCATTCCCCAAAATCTCTCACCTTGGAGCAGGTGCCTCCTTCCAGCGGGCTCTGAGGGCTCGGGGGGCAGCCACTGGTGTCCCACAGCTGAGCTGCCAGGTGCTGGGTGCCACGTGGAGGTGGCTCCTTGGCTGGCACATGCTCACCTCCCCTCTCCTCTGCAGCAGCCAGATCCCTCTGTACCAGCCCCCAAGGACATCCAGCTTCCTGGGGGAAAGAGAGCGGGGGGGCAGTTGGCATCTGCTGCCCCACAGCAGCTGGGGGGGCTGCTGGGCATCACCCCTGTGGGCACAGGGACAACAGCTTCACCTTGGATGGGTCTGTGCTGCTCGTCATCAGCCCGGCCTTGAGGCTGGAGGGGACACAGAGGACAGGCAGTTACTCCCTGGGGTGTCCTCAGATCCCCCTGAGACTCCCACAGCCCCTCAGGGATGTCCTCAGATCCTCCTGAGACTCCCACAGCCCTTCCGGGGTGTCCTGGAGTTGGTACGGGCACCTCCATGGGGAGCAGGGCTGTCCCCAGACCCCTCTGAGGCTCCCACAGCCCCTCAGGGATGTCCCATGGCACCTCCATGGGGAGCAGGGCTGTTCCCTGCTATCCATGAGGCTCCCACAGCCCCTCAGGGATGTCCTCAGATCCTCCTGAGACTCCCACAGCCCTTCCGGGGTGTCCTGGAGTTGGTACGGGCACCTCCATGGGGAGCAGGGCTGTCCCCAGACCCCTCTGAGGCTCCCACAGCCCCTCAGGGATGTCCCATGGCACCTCCATGGGGAGCAGGGCTGTCCCCTGCCATCCGCAGCACAGCTAGGGTGTGGGGTTTGGTTTCAAACCCTTTGTGTCCTTGTCCCTGACCCTGCAAGGCCACAGCCACCTCAGAGAGGGGATTTTACCCCCCCACCACATTCCAAGCCCCCAGTACGTACTGCACGAACTTGCACTTGGGTCCCTCCGGGCAGAAGCCCACCAGGTAGTTGGCACACATCACCCTCCTCGTGTGCTTGTACTTGCACAGGGGACCTGCCAGGCAGAGGGGACACTCAGGGACACAGGACTGAGGAGCTCTGCTCTCCCTGCAGCCCCGAGCCCAAATCCCACCCCCGCGGGCACCACCCCATCCCCGCTGGGCACCCCCTGCCCCCGCTCACCCTGCCAGCAGAAGCCACGGTCGTACCAGGGACAGCCCACGGTGCTGGCGGTGGCACCGACGTGCAGGAAGGGACAGTCCTTGCTGCTGCACTCACCTGCGGGAGCAAGGCGGGGGACATTCGGGACAATGCTCACTCGCGTGGGCTGGATGAAAGGAATCGGGGTGCGCTGGGAACAGCCAGGTTTGGCTGGGCTGGGGGACAGTGACCCTGACTGCGTGACAGTGGCACTTCTTCCCGCAGTCAGGAGGTGGCATCAGCCGCTCGCTCGAGGCCAGCCCCGAGGGATGAGAGGGGTGGGAAGAGGCTCGCAGGGATGCCCAGCCCCGCACCTACCGAACTTGGAGTAGAAATAGCACTCGGGCATCCTGCTGGCATCGTAGTCGTGCAGGAATTCGCAGCCTTCGCCCCTCTTGCAGAGCCCTCGCAGCCAATGCTTGCACACCGCGGGCTTGGGGTGACCCTGCACACCTGGGACAGCCCTGTCACTGCCAGCCTGTCCCCACTGCCCTGGCACACCTGGGACAGCCCTGTCACTGCCAGCCTGTCCCCACTGCCCTGGCACACCTGGGACAGCCCTGTCACTGCCAGCCTGTCCCCACTGCCCTGGCACACCTGGGACAGCCCTGTCACTGCCAGCCTGTCCCCACTGCCCTGGCACACCTGGGACAGCCCTGTCACTGCCAGCCTGTCCCCGCTGCCCCCGCACACCTGGGACAGCCCTGTCACTGCCAGCCTGTCCCCGCTGCCCCCGCACACCTGGGACAGCCCTGTCACTGCCAGCCTGTCCCCGCTGCCCCCGCACACCCGGGACAGCCCTGTCACTGCCAGCCTGTCCCCGCTGCCCCCGCACACCTGGGACAGCCCTGTCACTGCCAGCCTGTCCCCACTGCCCCCTGCCAGCCTGTCCCCACTGCCCCCGCACACCTGGGACAGCCCTGTCACTGCCAGCCTGTCCCCACTGCCCTGGCACACCTGGGACAGCCCTGTCACTGCCAGCCTGTCCCCGCTGCCCCCGCACACCTGGGACAGCCCTGTCACTGCCAGCCTGTCCCCGCTGCCCCCGCACACCTGGGACAGCCCTGTCACTGCCAGCCTGTCCCCACTGCCCTGGCACACCTGGGACAGCCCTGTCACTGCCAGCCTGTCCCCACTGCCCCCTGCCAGCCTGTCCCCACTGCCCCCGCACACCTGGGACAGCCCTGTCACTGCCAGCCTGTCCCCACTGCCCTGGCACACCTGGGACAGCCCTGTCACTGCCAGCCTGTCCCCGCTGCCCCCGCACACCTGGGACAGCCCTGTCACTGCCAGCCTGTCCCCGCTGCCCCCGCACACCTGGGACAGCCCTGTCACTGCCAGCCTGTCCCCACTGCCCACTGCCAGCCTGTCCCCACTGCCCCAGGAACACCCGGGACAGCCCTGTCACTGCCAGCCTGTCCCCACTGCCCTGGCACACCTGGGACAGCCCTGTCACTGCTAGCCTGTCCCCACTGCCCCAACCCCACCTGGGACAGCCCTGTCACTGCCAGCCTGTCCCCACTGCCCTGGCACACCTGGGACAGCCCTGTCACTGCCAGCCTGTCCCCACTGCCCCCGCACACCTGGGACAGCCCTGTCACTGCCAGCCTGTCCCCACTGCCCCCGCACACCTGGGACAGCCCTGTCACTGCCAGCCTGTCCCCACTGCCCTGGCACACCTGGGACAGCCCTGTCACTGCCAGCCTGTCCCCACTGCCCTGGCACACCTGGGACAGCCCTGTCACTGCCAGCCTGTCCCCACTGCCCCAGCCCCACCTGCACCTCCCAGAGCAGGGAGGGCTTCACCTGCTACTCCCAGTGCTGTCCCCAGAGGGACATTGGGGACCCTGGCAGCTCCCCAACAGCTTTGCCAGCTGCATTCCTGAAGGAGCAGTGCCCGGAGCCAGGACAAAAACCACCCAGGTTTTGCAGGAGGGCAGCAAGAGGAGAACCCCAAAAGCTCCCACAGCCCCACCACCCTCCAAAAATGCCACAGCCCTGTCCCTAACTTACTGTCCACCCCCGGGAAAGGCAGGGGCTGAGCTCTGAGTTCCTCCACATCAGCCTCCGAGTCAAGCCTGATCTTCTCCACGCCAGCCACCAGCTCCTGCATCATCCCTGCTGCGGGAAGAGCCTGCTCCAGCCCGGCAGGGGAAGAGGAAGAGGCAAAGGAAGAGGCAGGGGCACTCCCCAAGGAAAACACAAGTCTCCAAAGGGAGCACCACACCCTGGAGGTCCCTGCAGCCACCCCAGCCCCCAGCAAAACCCTCTTCTTCCTCCTCCTCCCCAGGCAGAGCAGAACCAGCCCAAGCAGCCCTGAAGTGCTGCATTTAGAGGGGGGAGTTGCCCACATCTGATCCCAATTTGCAGCCCTGATTGCCTGATGCCGCAGCTGAGGAGCTCAGCCCCAGGCCCCAGGCAGCCCCTCTCAGCCTCCCTGCTCCCACATCTGCTTCTCCTCCAGCAAACCCGGCTGGGGGTGCCTGGGAGCTGGGTTAACCCCTCATTTTGAGGCCTTAAATGGAGACAAATATGGCTGGAGTGCTGGGATTGAGCATTCCAATAGCACGGGGCAGATGCTGGGTGTGTTTTGGTGTGCACTGGGCACAGCAGCACCAGCCCCAGGCCTGCTTGGCAAGACAGACCCACATCCCTGGGCTCCTAGAAGTGACCACACCTTGCATCCCAACGAATCATGGAATGGTTTCTTGTGGAATGCTCCTCAGAGCCCTTCTTGTTCCATCCACAGGCAGGGACACTTCCACTGTGCTGCCCAGCAGCCCCTGCCATCCCTGCTTTGGGACTTTCACGGGTGCCAGGCTCCAGTGGCACATTCTGGGCATGACCAGGGCTCCGTGGGTTTCCTGGAGCCCACCTGGAACAGAGCCCCTGGATTTATCCCAGTGCTCCATCCCTGCTCCATCCCGCGGCCACGCTCAGCGCCTGTGGCGCCCCGGGCTGACACGGCCATGGAGCCCTGCTCCCATTCTGTCACTTGCCATCAGAGCACTGGAGCAGCAGTGCCACAGCGCTGCCCGTGGGTGCTGCAGGGTGCTGGGCACCCCGCGGCCGTGTGGG